CGCCAATGACTTGCCGCCGCGGCCATGTTCGTTTCCTCGAATGCGATTGAGACTAATGACACAAGATTAAGAAGACGTGGCTTCACACCAGTCCCTCTCTGCTCTAATACACCGTTTGCAAGTAAATGCAGCAAAGAACCTTTTCGGTAACCAGTGGTGTTGTCGGGAACGCCGAACGCTAATCCACTCTTCTGGATATCATAAACCGTTTCAGTGACGAACTGCTCAGTCCTTCTCCGCAATCGCCTGGAGTCTCTCATCGATCTCCTCCTCCGTCAGAGCTCTAAATCCCGGATCGGTTCCCTCCATCCCGTCCTTTCGAGGCCCACCCACAATGCCAATCTCCAATTCGCCCTTCTTGAAGTCGACGCTGAGGACCGTGCTTAACGTAGTAATCGCAAGCTCGACCACATCTTCCCAGCTGCCCTCTGCACAATCCTTGTTCTTAAGCTTCTTCTCCAGATGATTGAACGCCTCCTGCTGCTTGGGACCTGAGGCCGTGCCCTTGTAGCCCGTGTAGTATCCCGCTGGATCGCACTTGTATAGTTGTGGACCATACTCGGAATCCAATGATATCAACGTAGTAGCAACTCCGTAGGGACGCATATATGCCTGAATATCGGTAAGTACAAAGTCAGATAGAGTGCTGAGCGGACCGATTAGGTCAGCTTACCCTTTGTGTATAAACTTGGCTGATATTGGCAATCCTCTTGGCCAAAGCATCGCATGGCATCTCGTATCCGAACTTGTATCTAAACTCTGCGGCCTCGCCAATAGCTCTTTGTACGGATGCTCTGGCATCAGCGATGGATCCAGTCATGACACAGCCGACAGAAGGTGAGAGTTGGAAGATGTGAGAAACCGATGATGGGTCGATGAGCTTATCCTGTGGCCCATCATTAGCATTGCCCTGACTGTGGATTCTGAAGATGTTCTTACGGGGACTTTTTTCTGGGACAATACCACGGCACAATCCTTTCCCCTGACACCAACCGACATGATATTCGCCGCGGTAATAGCTTTGAAGGCATATTCTATCCTCGTATATCTCATTAGCATGCAAGTTTCAGCAAGGTATATTCAACCCGAGAACAACACAGAGCGAGGAGTCGGAGGCCTGCGAAGCTGAAGGCAGTTCCATTCGCACCGGCGAGATTTGGAATATATGCGTACCAACTTGGTATAATCTTCCCTGGTCTGAGAAGATCGTGATATGCCTGTCGTAACCTGCACTGCCTATACATAATTGTGGTTAGCTGTGGACTCTGAAACGATTGAAGCTTTCGAGGCAATGAACGTACCCGACATCTTGAGGGTTGGAAATGAAAATCTCTTCTCTAAAGTTACTCAGATATCCAGAGCCACAATAAGGTGGCAGGTGGAATGTTCAAGAGCGGTGTATTGTGGATGGTCGTTATAAAGCTCAACTGTCAACAGCTCGTCGCGGGAGGCAGAATAGAGCTGCGCGTCTGGAGAGCTCAGTCACGTGGAGCGCTAAGGGAAAGGACGACGATAAGATAGCGAAATAGAGACAGGCAAAAATTATTGCATTTATTTTGGGGGTCCCTGAAGGACACACCCTGCAGTGTGGCTTAAGACCATATAACTCTCTCATTAAAGGTGTTTGTCATTTTCCACGACGCGTCGCCATAATGCCATCTGCAATTGTTCCAAATGCACCCGCCCATATTCCCGCCTGGAAAAGATTGGGCCTCAAGTTGAAGTCTGCCCAAGAAGCTTCACAGCCCGCTGTTGAGCCTCCCACAGCGCCTGACACGTCGAAGAGGAAGAGACCAGATGCGACAGCAGACGATACTCCAGCGAAGAAAGTCAAGAAGAGCACCAATCTCTCAGAACAATCCGATCCTCAGGGCCCAATCACCCCACAACTCACGAGGAAAAAATCCGTTACGTTTACGCCAGAGACGAAAGCCGAAGACGGCGATAGCATAAAGCAATTATTCAATAGTTGGGTTGCAGAGCAGAAATCTGCCGACCCCTCCTTCCAACTCAAGAATTCAGCTCCCGTCTTCAAGACACCAGAACCCCCTCGAGTCGAGGAGAAAGTGGATGACAATCTGGACGAAAAAGAACGAAGAGTAAAAAGAGTCAAAAAGCCCAACCCAACGAAACCGGAGAAGACGAAACACTCAAAGAAGCTGGCGAAGACTGTTACTTCTCTAGCTCGACCTTCAAGACCATTTCTTGCGTACCTCAAAGAGTATTGCGAGTCCAGAAGCACTTGGAAATTCAACAAAAACCACCAGAACCATCTTCTACGGCACGCCTTCGACGTTGAGATTATCCCTTCAGACCACACGCATTATCTCTTTCAGTACGTGAGAGGACTGCAAGGTGGAGTGAGGACAAGATTACGAGACACCGCACTGGAAATTAAGGTCAAAGACCAAGAGGACGGGGCTGCAGGGTTTCCATCGACAATGGCTGATCCCGAAAAGAGACAAAGAGAATACGATTTGGCGATGAAGCAGCATGTTGCATTAATGACCGAGGCTAATGCTTCTTCCCGCATGGGCTATGAGGAAGGGATCTTGTTGGGTCTTGCTGATAGGGGAATGGAACAGAGAGTAGCAAAGAGATTGCGGGCAGATAGAATCTTGGAGGAATTGGCTTCGACACCTGCAGGAAATGGTACTCTGGCTGTTAATGGCGATGGTGACGGGGGTAGCCAGAAGCGACTGCGGATGGACGATGGCACTGCACAAAAAGTTGCGAGAAGGCGGAAGCAGAGGACTGTAGTCAATGTCAATGATAGCAGTTCATCAGATGACTCAAGCGATTCTGAGGAAGACAGCTCTGATGATTCTGCTGCTGAGGATGACAATGGGGATGACGATACTTCATCAAGCTCGTCCAGCAGTTCTTCCGACTCCGAGTCCGAGGAGGATGACAGTGATGAATCTTCAGAGGAATCAAGCGAGGAGAGTGATAGCGAATGAATTGGGATGAGAAGCTAGAAGTATGGGAGGCAAAACTATGAAGGAGCTACACGGAGTCTACGGCGCGATGGTTTGCTCTAGAAAGGCCAATGCGTCAAGATAGACTCTAGATTTGGAAATGCGATACCCTTAGAGCTCATTCGGAGCATAAAATACAATGTGTCAATTTAAACGCCTTGTCCAGGACCAATTTTAACACCAAATGCAAGATCAGATATGCTTATCAAAAGTGTGTCTCGTGGACAAACATGCATATGCAAGACCCGAGATTCAATGCGCACTACGTCAGGGCATCGGATTGTACAAGCAACAGTGGCCAATAAACAATACCACCACCTACACATCTCGAAATCCCATGCTGTATTTCCCCACACAACTAGATATCTGTCCTTATCATTTATCTAATCTCTAAAAGGACGAGGATATTCTGGCAGACCGCAACTTGCGCACGAGCTCGACCTATTGATCTACGCGAATTAGCTCGAATAGGCAACCAGTGTCACCAGACATTGACCCCTCACCACAACGCTCAGGCTCGTTATATTTGGTTCGCAAACTCCTTCACGTTGGACGCATTGTACGGGACATCGAAGGGGAGGATATAGTCACGATGACGAGAGTTATAGTATATTCCACAGCGCTGGTCGCCTTCGTGGCAGGTACGTTCAATGTCCCTCAGATTTCCACATCTCACATGCTGACATGTCCGTCCCAGCGACCGCGATGACTTTTGCCTCGATCTTCATTCCCGACTGGATTACTTGGTCCGTCGAGACCCAGAGTGGAGGACATTTTACGAAAACTATCGGACTGCACAGAAGTTGCTCGAGTACGAATCATGAATGCCAACATTTCCCACAATCCGAAGATTGTCATGGCACAGACAGATACTTTTGCTCGATGTGGCGGTCGGTGGGATTCATGATGTCGTTTGCAGCAGTTTTGGAACTTGTTACGCTAGTGGCGTACGTAGTGGTTCTCGCTGGTGGCAAGCAAAAGAGGGAGATTGGATGGAAAGTCTTGACTTCCTTGTTGTTGGCTGTGGGAGCTCTACAATGTGCTAGCATGGCTATTGTGGTATGTACAACTGCTGGAAGCCTTATTCCTGTTGCTGATTTGATACAGGCCTATTTATTTGACAACGACGATCGCTTTTTCGTTGGCTGGAAATTGGACAAGTCTTGGATCCTCTGCACGGTTTCATTCAGCATTGCGATTGTATCTGCGGCTCTGATCTCTCTTTCCGCATTCGTGTTCCCGTCGGAAGGTGGCTACGAGCTTATCCCCAGTGAACGATATGACGATAATTAAGGAAGCGGCATTCACATTGGAGGCGTTATAGCATCTCGACTTTTAGAGCTTTGCTCTAGGTATGATTAATGTTTGATGCTTAGGTTACGGGTCATGTTCGATTTGTATTGAAATTGAGCATTGGGATGGCTGTTTGATCATGATGGCATATTGTTTTATATAATCTACAGGTAGAAACGAAGTAGCGTAGAAGTAACAAATATTGGTTTCAAAGCCCTTGCCAACTTGCCATTGCATTATGATATAACTCGCAATGTGTATAAAGTACCTAGTTCTCAGGGACAGAAAAGAGTGACCGATTTCGGCACGTCCACGAATAAAGAACTCTGCCTTTCTTATCCAACTCTTTATAGTTAATTTTAACTGCTGTAATAATAGGACAACCTAATTTATATGTTGGCTTAAGTTATATCTTCGTTTTAAAAGTTGAGTAACGAGTACTGTACCTCGTCAAAAGTTGGTCACTGTTTTTTACTGAGAGCCTAGGAATGTCCCATCAAGTGGCACAAGCGAATTTTAGCACCGAATGAACACAACAGGAAGATCACATGCGCGTAAAGAACAAAGAGTGCCCCCATCACACCCTGGTTACTCGATGACAAAAATGACGCCAAGCGGAAATAGCGTATCCTACTGGCTAGTAACCGACTCGAAGTCCACAGAAATCTATTTTATGTTTAAAGGGCGCATAGATTTAAATAAGCAAAATCTGGATTACAAATGTGGAAAGCTGATTTGGCCGAGTGGTCTAAGGCGATGGTTTTAAGTTAGCTTAAATTCACCATTATCGAAAGATGCGTGAGTTCGAACCTCACAGTCAGCAAACACAAATTATTTTTTCTTTTTTTCTTCTTTGCCTTCTCGCATAGATGTAAGCTATAATGGTTTTCCTTTACAAACTTCGAGTTTGGAGCCATCCCTTTTCTGTTCAATAAGCGGTGTCACCTGAAGCGAGGGGTAGTGGGGTCGCCGGAACACCAACCGTGGAGTTCAACCAGCTTTTTACTATCGGTAACCTCAAAAGATAACTTTACCTTCAAATACTGGTCATCAAAACTTTTCGCAAGTACAAATCGAGCTTTATTCTGAATCGTGGAATAAAATTCCAATGTTATGGAGTGAATCTCATCCCCGCATCCCACAAACACAAAAGCAGGCCATTCTTATCGAGGAGGCGTCGTCTCGATAAGCCCCTGTGGTATTAAATCAGCTCCTTCTCGAACTTTTATGCCAAACTTCTTCAACGTCCAAAAAATGGCACCTTCTCGCACATCCCCAGAGCCAACTATAGAAAAGCAAGAGCACGGCCTCACTAGAGAACAACTTACAATCTTCAACCGTGATGGGTACCTCATTATTCCCGATGCACTTTCACCCGATACCGTGTCGGCCCTTCTCACAGAAACCCACACCTTGCTGGATAATTTCTCTCTAGAAGATCATCCAATGACCAAATTCTCTACCGGTGAAAGCAGTGAGCATGTTGGTGACGACTATTTCCTCACCTCTGGCGATAAGGTCCGCTTCTTCTTTGAAGAAGGTACTATTTCCCCGCCATATTGTCATCCAGAGTGCTAAACCGAGTAGATGCATTCGACGCTCAAGGCAATTTAACAAAACCTAAAGCCCTCGCAATTAATAAAATAGGCCATTACCTACATGCCCTCTCTGCACCATTCGCGGCCATCCTCTCGCCCTCAGCAGCACACTCCCCTTCCGCCATTGCTCGTTCCCTCGGCTTCCGTTCTCCGCAATGTCTCCAAAGCATGATTATCTGCAAACAACCTGAAATAGGCGGTGCTGTACCTCCACATCAAGACTCAACGTTCCTGTATACGGATCCACCATCTGCGGTGGGATTTTGGTATGCGCTTGAGGATGCGACAGTTGAAAATGGATGTTTGAGCTTTTTACCTGGGAGCCACAAGACAAGTGAAGTGGAAAAGAGGTTTGTTAGGAAAAGTGGAGGGAAAGGGACCGAGTTTGTGGAGAATGATGGGAGAAGGTTTCCTGTAGGAAAGGAATTTGAGAAGGCGGAAGGGAAGGCGGAAGGTGATTATGTGCTTGGGGAAGTGAAGGCGGGAAGTTTGGTACTGATTCATGGGAATTTGTTGCACAAGAGTGAGAAAAATACGAGTCAGAAGGGAAGGATCATATACACGTTCCATTGCATTGAAGGCGAGGGCGCCGTTTATGATGAGAGGAATTGGTTACAGCCACCAGAGGGAGGCTTTACAAAGTTATGAGTATAGAAATTAAGATAGTGTAAGGGACTGCGGGATCAGTCATTTAGTCATGATTATTGTATTGAGGACTATTGGCAGAATCTACCGTAGGCCCCCTCCAGGTCCTTATGCTATCCGGAAAGACATTCGCGTGGCAGCATGTACCACCCACGAATAACTTTTTCATACGCCCAAACCGTGTAGAGTATCCGCCATATGCAGGAAAAGGTATGGAGTATGTACTACCGACTGCTACCCAGCAAATAAGAACTCGGCCCATCAAAAAGCACCCTAGACAAATTTGCGCCATCCGAGACAGATTCCAGAGATGGCCTCCCAGTACCTAAAGTCAAATTAACGAGCATATGGGTGGAAACCCCTATTTCCGCCTCTGCCACCACCACGATAGTTTGCGCCAGGCTTGCCAGCATTTTTAGGACCAGTGGGTGCATTGGCAGGCGGAGCACTCGCAGGAGTCTGTGGCGGTTGGGAACCTCGACTACCACCTCGACCTCCACGACTGCCACCAGTATTGCTAGCTGGAACGGCCGGCTGTGGAACATCGTCATACATCCCTTCCCAAGAAGTTGGTCCACCACCGCCCATACCATACCCTCCTTGGCCATACTGAGATTGCTCTCGTTGGGCTCGTCGCATCTGCTGTTGCTCATATTTTTGTTGCTCAAATACTTGCTGTTCGTAGGCATTGTATCCAGGCGTGCCCATGCGTCCTCCAGGATTGGCTCCTCCATTCGCACCAAACCCAGCAGCTGCCATACCACCAGCACCTCCGCCCATACCTTGCATCTGCATCTGTTGCATCTGTTGCATCTGTGCCATCATTGCTGGGTTCATGCCTTGCATACCAGCCATAGCCGCACCGGGACTTTGAGGGCTCTGGCTTCGATTTCCTTGGGCCATCTGTTGTTGCATAGCCTGCATCTGTTGCATCTGCATCATCATGGCTGGATTCATACCTCCCATGGGCATACCTCGGCCACCACCCATAGCCATCTGTTGTTGCATCATGGCGAAATATTGTTGCATACGTTGCCAGTACTGAGCCATTAATTGAGGAGTCATACCACCGGGAGCCATTTGACCACTGCTTCCTTGCTGAACTTGATTGGAACTTTGACCCTCGTCACTGCTATTACCTTTCCTGAATCGGCCTCCTCGAGTTCCACGAGCCTCCTCCTCTTCTCGCATGTTGCCTCGTGGCTGTGCCTTCTTGACTTCGATTTGCTTACCGAGAATCTCGAGAGGTTGCGCTAAGCATTGATCGACGGCTGCCTCGCTATCGAACGTGACAAAGCCAAAGCCTCTTGGTCGACCAGTGTCCTTATCCATCATGAGAGTGGCATCGACAACTCGGCCGAATTGCATGAAGTACTCCTTGAAGTCCTGTTCAGTGGCCTCCTGAGAAACACCACCAACGAAGATCTTGCTAGTGCGCTCCTGCTCATCTCGTGGGATAGCCCTCTTGGGATCGATCTTATTTAAACATAAGCTGTTGTGCTTTCTGGTGGAAAAGAGATTGGAAGGATGATGACGAAGGGAATTGTCGTGAGTTTGGAAATCGGGTCTTACAATTTTACCATCAAGATAGTGCTCTTTCACCATCACTATGTTCACGGTACGTGCATCCTTGAATGTCAGGAAACCAAAGCCTCGAGAACGACCTGAGGCACCATCTCGCATGACAGTGCATTCCAATACCTCGCCAAATTGAGAGAAGTACTCTTTGAGCGATTCTAGAAAGGGTAATGTTAGACAAAAGCTTATAGATTGAAAGATGTCTTTCACTTACGATCGGTAGTCTCCCAATTCAATCCACCAATGAACATCTTCCTGTAAAAACATGACTGGTCAGCGTTGCGCGTCGGCGAAAGAATTATACGGGAAAATTTTAGGACGTGGATGGAGAACAACAAGGAGATTTGCATAAAGAATAAGTGGAATGGTGGTGTTTCGCATTTGAATCCGGGTGCTTGTTGTCGATTCGGGGTTAGGGAATGTTTCGCTTGAGAGAGGCCTGGTCATCCACCATAATTCGATAACCTCCAAAGCTGTCATGGCAATCGTGGAGAAAGAACAACTCAACACAGTTCGGGATGAGTAGCATGCTGAGATGGGCCATACGTCTTCAAGTGCAGCACATTCGCAAGGGTCGTTCCCACACCATCGATAGCAATTCCACAGACCAACACATCCGCGAGGACATGCGATTCCCAAACGAACCGAAGGGAGTCATGCAATGCAGAATGACACCACGAGATATCCAAGAAGAATGGTGTCTTTTGCTATCGTCATGCTAGGTACTGGCGTCGAGCGCTATGCGCTTCCTGTTTTGTCTAGCCTATCTGTGGCCTCCTCTGATGCTCTATGAAGATTATCTCGACAATAGGCTATGTAGTAGGCTTGACTATGGCCGCTGTCGTAGGCGATTGCATGAGGCGAAACCAGCTTCCCTCCCCCCTCTAATGATGCCTGCTTGTCCGCATATGTGTTCGCTCAATTCTCATAATCTGGTCCGCAACGTTCACGTGTTTCTGGCTCGCCAATCCAACAAGCAGCTCTGGAATCCTATGCACCGCTGCGTCTTGTGCAAGGCAATATCTCAAGCTCAGCCAAGGCTACTTGCTACCAGCAAGCCACCCTTTTCCCCCATAACCTCCAACAAGCCATCGACCACGTACTGATGTGGCCACAAAGCTCCTCGACTGTCGCTTCCAACATAACTTGTCCGAATCTTGGTGCTGTCCCCCGGCCCGCGGTAATCGGACAGGAGCTGAATCAAGCTCATGCGATAATTACGATCAGGTGCCGAATCTGTATATAAATCCACTATGAAGAAAAAAGAAAAATACTGTAATCTTACCCGTCTTCCTTGATTCCTGGACCATGTGTTTCATGTGAAGCGGAGGTGTCATAGCTATTGCCATTCCCCAAGTTGAAATCAATCTCATCCTCCATATCTTGCTCGCCATTGTACATTTGCTCATCAGCGTCGCCATTTTCCGCTATATGCTCATTGGGATCTTCTGCCTTTACTTCAGCGACATTCGAGGCCTCAGCTTTTACTTCAGGCTCAGGCGCAGCGGGTTTTTGCGCGGCATCATCAGTGTATCTAAGAACACATTAGCATAGTTCTTCATGGATGCACGAATGGACGCGTTCGCTTTCGCGCTGTAGAAGAATCACTGATTGGGATTTCGTGGCGTACGACGCCAGGCAGCTGGGCGGGAGAGGTGACTTACAGATCGGCGAAGAGATCCTCCTCAAAGTTATCGGTCTCCGCCATGTTGAGTATGATCGTATGTTAGTGATGAACTCAGTCAGTGATCACGCAGGGTGGTCGATTATCTGTAATCGACGACCGTGGTCGCAAGATGTTCAGGAAGTCTCCTAAATTAATACGCAAAGAAATCACTTTCTGTGACCAAAGAGATCATGAAAATGAGTAAATGCACCAGTAGACTCCATACGCTATGGAATGCGCGTGAAGTTAAAGTATTTTTCTCAAAGGTTGAAGGAGCTGGATGTTTTGGAGGAAGTCGGTTCCTCGAGCTCGGAGAGTTGGGTTAGTTTGACAGCG